ATATACATAAATTATAACACTTTAACATATTAATAATAAAAGAAAATCTTACTTACATTTTTTGGTGTACCATTTCTCCTACTTTCCCAACAAAGTTTTAAATATCGACAAAATAATAAAAAAATTAAAGTTACATTATATTTTTTTAAATTCTTAAATGTGCTTGGATACACATTAAAACGAAATAAATATTAGTATTAGTAGTAAAATAAAAGTTGTTTTTTTTATATAATTTATATTTTTTGGATACCGTGTTGCCATATGGCAACGCTAGTACATAACGGGTTAATACGATTTTTTTTTACCAAACTGCATATTTTTCTAATAGCGTATCACATACTCTCACAATTGATGCAATAAAAAAAATTAGATTTTGCAGTTTCGATACTGTTTGTTGCGGCTGTCGTATGTAAGTAAAGTGCATAATAAATATTAATACTAAGTTTTATTGTGTATAGTAAGCTTGTTTGTATGTGTGTACGTATTTAGTTTACTTATTTAATTCACATATAATTACATGTATGTATGTAGTTTTTATTATTACTTATCATGCTTATAGACATCCCGTGCTCTGTTTTTGTTTTCAATGTATAAATCGCGGATAACTGTTACTGGCTTTGTAATATGTAATTCACTTTTTGTAATCCATCAATATTTGCTGTTGTTATCAAAATTAATAAATAAATAAATAAAAATAAATAATACCTCAAACACTCATAGCCCCGCACTAGGAAAGCCCTGTATCGCGGGTGCCATGGACACACCCATAGGCAAAAACAAATTACACCCAAACTCACGAGAGAAATAAGTGTAGGCCATACAAATATTTCTCCCGGCCCGGTAATCGAACCCGGGACCTCTGCGTGGAAGTCCAGCATGGTAACCGTTCGGCCACGGAGGCAGTTCAATTTGCCACACAAAGTAATCTACGCGGTCGCTAGCCACAACTGTCGCAGTAAACTCGTGGTAGAGGCATAGTAACCATAATTGTAACTTTTTTATTAAAAAAATCGACCTCAAAAGTATCTATTTGCCAGGTTTTATTGAAATCGGTTATCAGACAGTTCACGAAACCGGATTCATCCCCTAGTTTGCCACCCTTACAAGTGGAATATTTTCTTCAAATTTGAATGGGACCAACACTAAGGACCTTCTTTCCAACAAAAAAAAGGATCGTCGAAATCGGTTCACAAATGCCGGAGTAATTAATATAAACACACAAAGTTAGTCATTTTTAAGTGATAATGCATATTTGAGTTTTTATTACAGTATAAAATTGTTGATTAAGTATATATAGTTATAACTAAAATTAATAATTAGATTGCAATACCCTAACAGGGTCCATGTTTATATGAGGTACCATTCGCTGTACTCATGATGCAATAAATAAATAAAGAAAAGAAATACTGTCGAATTGCGAACCTCCTCCTTTTTTTGAAGGCAGTTAAAAATAAGTTTGCACGTTAAACTTTCACTGCTTTGGTCAACCCTACATGACAATTTGGACAACAAATCCCTTTGTAGACCATAAACATTGACTTACAATTATATGGACGTCGGGTCCGCGCTAAAAAGTGTCCGCACTTGTAAGGCGCTAAAATCGTATACAGAGCTCCAAACTCCGCTTTAGTCTTCATTTGTTCTACTGACAGCGCGATACTGCGATGACATTACAATTTAAATTTCGAATAGGTTGACTTGGGACATTTTTTTCGTGGTTTTTGTATTAGACCCGTCGTCCATTTATTTGTAAGTCAATGACCATAAAGTTAATTTTTCACATAAAATCTATTGTAAAAGAAAACAAATAACCAACAAAAAATTCATTTCCCTTTCTTTAAATTTCATATGTTCACTCACATATACCATTAAAAATAAAAGTTTGTACACCAACAAAATTACCTAGTAAATCATATCAAAGTGAAGTCGAGAGAAAAACGGGATAAATTAATTGTAGAACACACGTGTCAATAAACTATTTCTAGGTTCACTTGCGTGGTTCCGATACGTTCCGATGTTCCACCAACAGTACAAACCAAATTAATGGCAGCATTGTCTTTCAGATTACCCGATAATCATCGCGCAGCACTAGACAAAGCCGCGCTGATTAAATCCGGTGACCTCGATATCGGAAACTACCGAGCCTTTGTGTGCGGCATTGGCGATACCGGTGGTTTGTTGCTGTTGGTGAGAAAGTGCTGCCCAAATTGGTTCCTTTGTCACAAGCATTCAGGTTAAATATAGGTGTCCAGTAGTGCTCTTCCTTTTTTTATTTTTTATTTCATAGGAGCGACCCATCGTTATAAGAAGTGTCAATAATAGACAAATACAATTTATTGCGCTGTCCACATTGACTTACGAGCCATATCTATTTTTGGCAAATAACAGGTAATTCTGTAGTCGTCTTTTCATCCAAAAGCCGTCTTAGTATTCAAGTCATCACTCAATACGTGACCTTTAAAAAGATATGCTAAAATACTCTGAATAAAACATTCAACCTGGTACCTACCTCCCTCGTTCGTGTCTCGGCTCGTTATATGAAATTCAACAATAATCGGCAATATCACGCGTTTCGGCAGATTCCAGGCAGCGAGAGCGTAAGGCGTCGGCGATGAATATGAAATGCGGCTCGTTAAAAGGCATCCAGCGCAGATTGTTTCGTCCCTATAAAATTTATATGAAACGAGTTGACGGGGATTCTATTTCCTGAGGATTTCCTTCGCCGACAAAGTTGCGATTCAATTTTGTAAGAATTGTGATCTACGCGAAGACGCGCGCGAGTTGCGACCGCTTATTGAAATCGAATGGTTTACGTTGGATCAGACGGTCTTTTGGAGGCCCTATTTATTAACTGGCTTTTCAATTATTGAAAATCTTGTGTAGAGATATTGGAAATGGTGTTTTCGATACGTGTCTTAGTATTTCTTCTATAATACGTTCAATATACAGACGTAATCTACCAATTATTGACTTCGTAGCAGTAAGCTTTCAGCTTGATTTTGTTATGACGACAGTAAAACTGAATTTCCAAGAAACGTACGCAACCCCCGAATAAGAAATGAAAACCCTAACAAAGGTCAATATTCCTTTTACCCTCTTCATAGCGAAGCTCAACATTTCCACATCGGCACTTTCTTTTACCGTACATTTGAGTTGAACTTTGGCATTTCGATGTGACGTTTTCTTCTAAACGGAGCTTTAAGTTTCGTTTCTGAAAGGAACGGCTTTCGAAGGAATCGACGTTTTCTTATCGTAATCTTAGTGTTAATTTGTTTTAAAGTACATGGATGTAAAATAGGTAAACGCTGGATCGTAATCTCACCCATTGCTATGCTCAACATGACCTACGATGTTACGCGTTTGTTAAAAATGCCTATTCACTCCAGCTTTGAATACGCCCCAATTTACTCGTATCTTTGATGGACACCCACCATTTTGTAAACAGCACGTACGGTGCGCGGTACTTAATTTATCTCTTTTGTCTAATTGTCTCTGCTAGGACACGCACTTTGCGTCACCTAAACGGTGCAGTGAAATAGCCAGACAATACTGTTAAAGTGAAACATTTTAGAGAGATTACCTGGTTCTTTATAACAATTCAGCATCAGTTTTATATTTCGACTACATGGGAAGACTCGATTTCCCTCAGATATACTATAGACTCGAAGTCAAAGGTATTCCGACAAATCCAGACCCTGTTTCATGAACAAAGCGACGGGAGTAGTTAAGGGTAAGAAACGTCCACTACATTAAATGTTTGACAAAAGGCGGCATTCGGTTTGCAAGCATTCTTTTGAATTGACTTAACGGATATAGGAACAGAATTAGACGAAACATAGATAACATGTCGTAATCGCAATATACGAAAGCATGTTGAGACGCAGAAACAGCACCTGGTACTATGACTATTATGAAAATACCACATTCTATAATAAGCTAACAGCAACAATATTTAATTAAATATTGAATTTTTAGTGTTTTTTTCAACTGAGAATCAAGAGAACCGGTTAACAGTGCACACACTAGACGTAGTCATATAAGTCGTGGCATTAGTATAGGTAATCTACAATACGAGTATAACATCATTTATCATGTTATAATCGTATATAACCTAGTTATGTGAAGTTGGTCAAGAATAATAGCCTTGTGTTTGATAGCGGTGGGAGATTAATCTTAAACGCTTCAACGGGCCCCGTACGTGGTATCGAAGCTAAAATGAGTCTCGGAATCACTTATATAACATACCGAGGACTATCAAAAGAAAACGAATTTATAAACGATAATCGTAAACAAACCGGTATTAATGAAAATATTAAACAATTCCATGTAGTCAAAAGTTTGGTTAAGGAAGTTAAGCATTTTATGTTTGAAAACAAAATTGGTGTGATGATGATACGACGCAGGTAAAGAATTTAGTTATTAAAGATTGTTTTATCTTTTTCTACTGTCATTATTCACATGAGAACTACAAAGGGCATTTTTCGTATTCCAAGAAGATATGAATTCGACGACAGTCAATTTTACATGTTCTAGGTATGTCAAAAAAGAATGATTTATGTTATTTCGACCTTGTCCCCTGAAAGTATGCGGACCAAATCCGGACCGTTACATCGACTGAGCGGAAATACCGGAAATGACGCGAGGTTTTGCTGCAGCGAAAATGTTGCCTCATATTCGTTTGCTAATTCGCGACGGCAATACGTGGAATTCTTTATAGCAATCTGCTTAAAAGCAGCGCTTATACACGGTTCCCTCTGTGTAGTCTATATAAAATACTAAAATGTGTCAGGGCAATTAAAGGGAATGTTGAATTTAACTCATAACACAACCGCGTGGTAACTACATTTCTTGCCGGCTGTTCCTACTTGCAGCCGGCTTGAGTCTCCTTAGTGGTATTATAACAATAGCATCTACGTAAGCGGTCTTCCATATAGAATAGAGAAAGTCCTACTACTAATAGCCTATATTTGTATGAAACGCAGAAGAATAAAGATACGTACTTGCCATAAGCGTGCTGCAGGCGGTGCGTAGCGAGCCACTGGCGTAGCACCAGCCGCTGTTGCAACACTTGTGCCGCACGTCGCAGTCGCTTCTCCTCCGCCGCCGGCAGCTCCGGCAGACGGTCCAGGTGCTCCGGAGATCCGCAACCGGATAGCGTTGAAATGCCTACAACAATACACACCACGTTCATATACATGTATAGGATATCTTCCGATGACTGGCGGTGTCTTAGCGATGCTACCGAACTTAGTTTAAAAAACGCGAATGCACTTTTTGCAGCAGATTTGTCTGGACAAATGTATCTGATTTTCTGTGAAAACTTGTAACATTCCAAAATTTAATACCTATATTCATGTTCGGCATAAAAAGAAGAGAAGTCGTAGGATTATGAATTTGAGTTGGTTGCCGGGTCAGCAGCAGCTGTACAGGTTACGGTGAACGACTTTAAAACAGCATCGACACGCAAACAACCATGATTTCGCGTGCCGAAGGGCGACGTCGCGCAATCTGCTCGGAAGTCTCGGTAATAAACATCAAACTACACTGCTTACTGATTAAATCAGTATAAGAAATGTAATTGGCAATTTTTTGTGCCCCGATTTAGGACGACAAAAACAGATTAAAATGAGGTTGACACACTGAAACATAGCGCCTAAATGTCAAATTAAGACTAAGTATGAATACCATAAGCTTAAGCTAAAGTTCGTCATCTCATTACTAAAAATCATTTCAGCTCATTAGAAATGTTGAAAAAAATTTCTACGTGTCGTTAAACCTGAAGAAGGGAGCCCAATTTTGCGCAATCAAAAGACCTAATGTTGTGTTAAAACGCCTTCGGGTCAGGGCAAACCGGAACAGAATGCGCGGTGAAGTACACCTTGGACAATTCGAAAGAGCGAACCTTAAAAGTTTATTACACACGAGCTGCGTCTGAAAATTTGTCCCCTAAAATTCTAGAATTCGTTTTAACCAATTTAATATCCATGCTATTGATGAACCGTCTTCGAAACAACTACAACCGTACGCAAAAATGTATTTATTTTCAATTGCATTCATATTTGCATAATTTTATTTATAAAAAATATACTAAATAATTTGAGCTTCCTTAAAACAATGAATCTGATATATCGAGTTCTTACATTTTCGCGATTGTTACACATAGGAAATGAAACCGTGATCATGGGACCTGTAAAGGGCCCGAAAATATTTGATTTCGGAAAAATAGTTTCATTTCCTAAATTAATCTGATATATTTGGGATAAGTGAAACCCGATGAATCGCCTGTTAATTATTATCTCTGTTCCAAACTGTTGAAGCGATGACGTTACCATGATGAAAAGTGTGACACCTGCCATTGAACCGTTCTCGGACGCTCTTGTCACCGCAGAATAACTTCTTTTACGTACCTGGTCATAAGCGACACATCTATACATAACAGTTGCAATGTCACTCACCGCTATAGGAGCCGATACTACCTCAGCTAGAATTAAATTTTTTCCCGTACTAATACGGTTCATTTGCTTGAGTCGAATGACGTATAGTGAAGATGTTCTATTTAGTTCAGTTGATGTTAAAAAAATCATTGGTGTATATAAAGTACCTATTGAATACAGCGGTTTTCTTGTAAAATTTCGAGGAAAGTTTGTGATTTTTTTCTATCATGAAAATTTTTTGGAATCGTGTTTTCACACCGTAAAGTAATCAGAGTATATTCATCCAAAGTGATTGTTTTAACACTTTCACTGTTATGCGTAATCAACCACGCCATTTGAGGTTGCATAGACTCTTAAATGGCAAAGACCTGAGGGGCACTGCCACTGCGCCCGCCATCCTGTAACATGAAGTTGACAGGCCCATGTGTCTATAATTTCACCAGCACCCTTACCTTCAAAACCGGAACACGTCATAGTCACATTTTCACAAGGAGCTCTACTGCTACTAAAACTACTAAAAGCCATTCAGTCAAATGTGACAATAGCAGTTCTAAGTAGAAATAGGGAGTCCAAGTCTAATTCTCAAGAAGACGCGGTTCCATTGCCTACATATTTTTTAATTTGTCACTTTTTGCGATCCATCGGTTCGTTCTTGGTGGCTTTTTTCTTAAGTGGGAACCATGTACATGCTTGTACGTTTCGCTTTTTATTTAACAGTAGACTTATATATAAAACACATAAATGATTTCGTACGAGAAAAATTGCGACTTACAACGCGGTGAGTATTCGCGGTCATGACAAATATGAAAATCGTAAAAATTAAAACAATTATGTTAAATAACATATTAAAACGTATACCTATAGGTTAAAGTTTATAACATAAAATTTTCATAGATTTTTCACAGATGGTGCCACGGCAAAAAAGTCGTTAAAAACCAGAACAAAGATCTGCCACAGGGAAAAATTCGTGAGGTCCGTTTGTTCGTTCCGTTGCCTAGTTGGCATAGGGTCTACCACGGTTAGCTAATAGACGTTGGTTCCAATCTGTGTGTGCGATCTTTGTTTAATAATTACAACAAACTAGTAGAGTTTTTTTCCCAAAAAATCATTGAATATTATGGCGCTGAAACATCATGTCATTCAACAAAACTTAATTTATATGATAAACCTAGTGATTTCTTGTAGATTACGCAATACAGCTTAATATCAGTATGTATTAAAACAATTGTTTGTGTATTCAATATATACGAGACGACCTGGAAAGAAGCCAGATAAGAACTATTTTTTACAGTTATATTTAAACAAATTGCCGAATACTTCAAGGCTTTGGAATAACAAATACCCTATCAAAGTTTTGGCGCCCGATATGGGGCGACAAGGTTGGAGCAATAACTATCGTAAATTCCTGTAAAAATAGAAGATTATGTATAAATTAAATAAAATTGCATTACATTCTAAAATCAAGTGCGATTGGTAAATTTACGATCCTGGCTACAATTCAAATATTAATACTAAGGACTCGCAATTTTCCTTTCACATTCACCACTTTGTATGGAATTGTGTGTAAGCAAGACACAATTGGCGCCCTATGTGGGGCCTTTAAAGAATCTTACACCAGATTTGCATGGGAACTATGGAAACTTGATTTCTCATAGTTAGGTACAATGAGTATCATTAATTCGGAACTACATGAATAATAGACGAGGAATTGTTGTCAGTTTGTTGCTTGGCGACGTATGACCTTGGCCGTGTCGACGGCAACTAAAACCATAATGCCAGCCGTCACTTATGCCTTGTTCGTGTCTTATCAGTATGCATTAGGCAGCAACTTTATAATTGTATATATATATTCTGGTCGAATAAACGAAACCAACATTTAATATTCTTGACTGTAGCATATACTATCTTCCGGTGAAAATGTTTTATGTTCTAGATATGAAGCCGGTGTATTGCATCAAGTTAATCAAGAGGGTGAAGTTCTCTACACCAGCTGCTCTCGCAAACATAAAATGGCACGAGCATCAATGTACTATTATTATAGTCACTTCAAAACAGTTCTAAAAATGTGCACTACAAATTTCTACCAAGAACTTTCAACTTTTACATTTTCTAAGTCGAACACGAAGCTGTTATTTGTAATACAAAAGCGTCTTAGTATTGAAAAGCAATTTTATTCGCAGGTCCTTTGCTTTTATGATATTTTTATAGTATCGCACAGTAAAATCGGCAACGAAAAACTTTGTCCTACAGCAAGAGTACGTTGCTTGAGGGTTTATTTGAAACCACGTTGCTATTTTCATCGTTTTAAGCTAAATAGAGAATGTAACTTTTTGAAATGGCAGTAAACACGATATTTTTACAACAATTAACTGTGAAACCTTAAATTGTATACCTATGCCTGTCTTAGGCGGTTAAGAAAGAAATACTCCTTCGCGTGCCCGTAAAACACCGCCTACTCACAAAGTATTACAATTTTAGGCAGTTATTCAAAGCAATTCCGATCTAATTTGTACGCGAATATTCAGCACGATAAGGTTGAGCTGTTTTATACCCGGGTTAAACTGTGACGTCACTGTTCTGATTACTGATATAATACAAATTATGGACCGTGTAGCTGCAGATCACGCTGAGAGGTATTCAATTCATATCAAAAAGATAAAACTTCGATTTAACATTGAAAAAAAATCTGATTCTTACCAAGTGGAGCTTGGAAAGGATGTGATGTTTACTGCTACCAGGTATAATGATTACATAAAGATTTGATTAAATTTAGAAGCGTGATTGATTCTATTAAGCTCCACTTGACAAAAGACAGATATTTTATAGTGTAGGTAAACTTACCTACAAAAAAAACAAAACTTTGTTTGCTCCCCTAACGAGGATGTGCCAAAAATTTGAGTTGTAATGCTGCATTTTTTAACCGACTCGAAAAAAGGAGTAGGTTCTCAATTCGACGGTTTTTGTATGTAGGTGTATTATGCGATTAGTCCGGCATTTGTGAACCGATTTTAATGATTCTTTTTTGTTGGAAAGAGAGATGTGTTTCCACGAACGCTTGAGGGTAGTTTTTTTTTTTAGAAAAAAAAATTTATTAAAATTGTTTATGGTTACAGATGAGAAGATAAAGAGAAAATAGGCCAGCACATAGATGTTTTCAACATGACGACGCGGTTAAAAGACAAAACCTAGTTGTCCCATATACAAGGATAAGTTCAGTTTTCCCTAAAGTTTCAGGGTCTCGTAAAACCGTAATGGCATAGCGGTAATCACAGGTGTTCTTCAAGGATGCTTAAGTTAATTACGAGGACGCGACACAGCCCTGAGGTAACATACGCGCCGACGGACTTTTACAAGCGTGGACTAAAATCGGTATTGTGTTAACCTTTGTATTCCTATTAAAAGGATATTATTATAGGTGTACCAGAATCTGATAGCACTTAGACAAGTTGAAATTTGTAGTGGGCGACATCAATATAGTAGGGAAAAATGTACTAGATACTTCACATATTTTATTTCACCAAGATTGATCTATCCTCGTACATGTTTTAAGATCTGTTTGAATTTGTGTGTAAGAGAGGTAAATAATTTCTGATACATTTTAAAATTAAACAAAAATATTTCAATTAGATTGTGGGTGATAGATTTATTTACGTTCGCAATTTGAAGTATTTTTTTTTCCAACCAATCTTTGTCTACACACTGTAGTCTCGCAGACCAGTACGTACCAACAAA